GATATCTTAGTTTTGGGCTTGCAGGCTCGAAGATGCAGGATATGCTGTTGGAGCAAGGGTTTTGGAACTTCTTTGCCACAGAGAAAAGGTGCGGAAAATCGAGAGAGTTCATGCAAATATTCTTACTTGGAAGTTATTCTCTATGGTAGCCCATGGCAAGTTTTATGCATGTTAAATCATCCTAATCTTTGAAGTGAAACTAAAACATCTGCATCAATTGCAAAGCTGAAGAGCTGGATATTTTTGTCCATTTAACATCTGCCTATTGTGGCTGAAGTGATTGAAGTTCAATAAATTGATTCAGATTAGATTCTTATTTGCAGCAAGTTCATGTGTTTATAATGTTTTTAGTTTTCTTTTTTTTTTTTTTTGAAGTAATTCCACTGCTACTTTGCTATAGGACATACACTGAAAAATCAAGGGAGAAACCAAGTAATTTCTTTTTGGTGTTGAGGTTTTAAAACTATTCTCCTAAACAAAGCTATTACTGTTTGAAAGAAAATATTAAATCAGCTAACTTTGTATGCTTATTTATTCTTGTCTTTAACTGAAGCATTACCTTGAGTAATTTTTCGCACACGAAGATTCATGTATGCAACATATTGGTCACTGCAAGATCTGGTGAATGGTGATGGTGCAACATGTTGATCAATTATTGGTTGAATTATTAAAGGGACATCTGAGTAACTGTTTGTGAAGTGATTAATGTTATATAAGAACTTCTCAGAGGGGTCTCTAAATCTATGTTTATGGCTTTTGTTCTTCTCTAAGTTGACTGGCTTATGTTTTTACTATTTATTTGATGCTTTAGGGAAACAGAAGAGAGACACGACTCCTGGGTATCTTATCTTTTGTACACAGCACAGTATGGAAGGTGTTGTTTGGAAAGGTTGGTATTGACTTGCGGCCTCTCAAGATATGGTGCATTGCTTAAATAAATTTGTCTCTTGAAACTTTAGTAATTTTTACTCTTTTTGTGGTAGATCTATCTTGGTTTATTTTGAAGACCTGAAAACTTTAGTGGAAGTATATCTTCCCGTGTCTTTGTTAACTCGCCAAACTAATCCTTTCCTCTTTTCAGTATTGCCACCTTTCCTTGCCTGGTATGGTGAGATAGGCTCCACATACCTTCATAGTTTCTTGCTCCTGATTTTTAATTTTTGAAAGGATTGATGATCACCATGATCCCAATATGGGTGTGTTCTCAATACTAATCTGACTTGAAAGGCATTTTGCAAGTTTACCACACTCTTTTAGAAATGTGAACTTAGGTGGTGCAGGATTATAATCTGAAAACTAAGAGCCTCTATGTCATGAAAACCATTTATGTGATATGAATGTTGTTGCGACCTGTTCCCTGTTCCTTATGACAACTGTCATGGATGTCAAAATCCATTTGTCGTTTGCAAAAGTAATATTCTATTATTTTCTGAATCTTATATTGACTATTTTCTCAGGTAATTAAGTTTGGGATTTTTTCCGAGTTCATGATGTTGAGTAAGGATTAACCTAACTTTCCAGCTCTGAACTATCAAGACGGTTGCTGGTTTTGGATTCATACTGCACAGTATATGTCAGCTTGCTGTTTTAAGATTTGACCTATACTGAGAATGAAAATCTAGGATAGCTGCTTCAGAAATTAGATAGAGCACTGAGAAACTGAAATTCTTGTAGTATAATTTTATATATTCCCCTCAATGCCTTTGTTGCATGCCCTTGATATGTTTTTCTGCCCAATATTTCGCTAGAGCGTATTCAATTGTCAGATCAGGACAATCCGCAAAGAAGCATATTCAAATGAATAATCCAGATACACTGAGTGTTTTCAAATTTCAATATGTTGCTAATCCCCAAATATTTGTTTAAACATACGCAATGAAATGTAGAAGATTGCAAAACTATGAGTTTGCAAGTCAATGAAAAACCATATTGACTGTAAGGTTGCTCATATTCTGTATTTGTAAAATGACAACCTTTGGCCACTTTTTATGTTGAATGGTGATCCCTTGGAGATGGGATCTGCAGAGACCAAATTGCTTCAATGTGAATGCAACAACATAGGGAACAAAGTTTCTTCCGACTTTAATAATAAATTGCATAATCTTATTGTAGCGTTTATGCTTCAACTATTCTGCAGCTTGTTACTTGTGCACATAAAAGTAAACCTGGAAAATAGCATATCTGCATTTTATGAAGATGCTTCACCCATTCACTTTTATTTAATTTAAGTACAGCTGTGGAGCGTTACTACTGGAAAGAAGAATCAAATCCAGAACTTTGGCACAAGCTTTAAAAAAGACATGCTACCCTGAATTAAGCATTTAGTGAGAAAAATTGCTTATTTGCATCTCAAAATTTTAGTGTTACTTTTCTAACTGGTAAAGCCACCAATTTGACTTTACTGCTGAAGATAGCCATCTGAGGTGATAATTTTATCTTCTTTTTAGATTCTCACATCTGTAAATGATGGTCTAAATAGCACAAAAACCGTATCAATACAGATTGGAAAATTTTAGCATGCTTCTATCACTGCTAACCGATCTTCTTTTCTATGTGGTTGAGGTTAATGTTTCTTTAGTTCTCTGCTAACTTCTTCTTTTAAAAGCATGACCTCCAGTTTAGAAAGCACATTGCTTCCGAAGCTTAAATAACGATGGAGTTTGTGTCAGGGTTGACAATCTGAAGAGTTATTTTTAGTAGGTTGTGTAATAAAAGAACTGACAAGAATTTGCTACTGGTGGCTTCAAAGTGCTGGGTGCACACAAATTTGTGCCTTAGATCATAATGTATGTAAGGGGCTTCTACTGTCCAGAAGGAGCATTTTCATCATATCTGTCCTTGGTCCTCCACATAATCAACTTGTAATATCAGACACCTTTATATTAAGCTTTTCATGTGCATATTATTATTATTATTATTCAGACACCAATACTGTCTGTATTGGTGAGAATTTTCTGAAGACGTAGTTGTTTTAGAAAGGGACATGAATGTATCTTTTATCCTCTTATCCATGTAAATTTCAGGTAGCTGACTCTCTTGAGAAAGGTACTGAACATGAAGATGAATACATGATTAGCGAGAAGGAACTTTTGGTCAACAGGTTATCTTTCTCCCTTTGTTGCATGCTTGTATCTGATTTGTATTAGCTGTCCTCTTAATGGTCTGCTAACATGCATTCATTTGATTCTAGATTTATATCAATTCCCAAAGATATGGGTACTTTTAATTGCGGAGCTTTTGTTGCTGGAATTGTAAGGGTATGTCTTACATTTTTATCTTTTTGGTACAAATACCTATTGATAATTTTGGAGTTGGCCTCTAGTTGATGTGCTTTTTCTTTTGAAGGGCGTTTTGGATAATGCAGGTTTCCCTGCTGTGGTAACAGCTCATTTTGTTCCTGTTGAAGGACAGCAGCGACCTCGAACAACCATCTTGATAAAATTTGCTGAGGAGGTACAAAATGTTTGACTCTATCATTCTTTAAGCATGGCTCCCATGTTCCTTTAGTTCTCTTTTAGAAAGTGCTTGGGGTTTAAGAATACAAAAGTTGCAGGTTTTATAATTGGTGCATACTCCAACTCTTGTTGAGTCTGCTTTTTGATCAATTCTTTTTACAGGGCAGATTGGCCTCAAAAGGGGCATGCTATCTTAGATATTGCAGTTGTTGGTAGTTGTCTTTTAATATTGAATTTTGTGCTTTCCACATAGCAAGTCTGAGAATTAAAGACATAGTAACCTGTAACTTATTCAAAAACGAGAATTTTTTGCTTCTTTTTTTGGAGGAATAAAGTGAAATTATTCAGGATGCTGGTTTTTTACAGGTTTATTCATAATTGTTTTTGGTTAATTCTTTCACTAAAGTAGTGAAATGATGAATCACCTCTTCCGGCTTTAGCGGTTCATTAATACTGTACAGATTCCAGATCTCACCTTGTCTTAACTGGCTTGAAACGACTCAGCTTTAATTGTTTAAGTTATTATTTAGCCAATCCAGCTTTTCTTTTCCCAGCTTGATAGTCTCTAGCCTGAAATATTAGGTTATAGTGAGCAATATTTATTAATGTTCTTCAGAAGTTTTAATCTATTGACGTTTGAATGGCATTGGTCTCAATTTTGATGAAAACTCAGTTAATTCTAAGGCTACAGCATGTTTTCTTCCTTTCTTTGTCGTCTGCCACCTAGACTAGATAAACTTTCAAGCAGTTTTTCGTAAATATTCCCCATATTATTAAGTGGCTAGCTTGTTTGACCTGTTCATTTTGTGGGTTTTGAGCACATGTTAAATGATGGATGAGCTGGAGTTAGATGCTAAGGTAATTTGGAAATTTTTCTTGCGACTCCTGGAGTACTTTCTGCCACTTATGGTTGACTGTTACATCTTTTCCAGGTACTACGAAGAGAGGCAAGATTGGGCTGATACTTACTTTTCAATGTTCATTAATCAATAAGAAGTTGCAGATCGTGAAAGCTGTCATTTCATTACTAGAAACTGGCATTTTCATAGTCCAAGAAGTTTGCAGTTCGTGAAAGCTGTCAATTGATTACTGGAAATTAGCATTTTCATGGTCCATGATGCATACCTACTGCCCTTCCTGGCAGTATATCTGTACCTGTCAAAAGTATCATAGCAGCCGGTTTAGAGTGCCATTTTAAGATATGATTGGTGGAAACTTTTGCAATTCGCAAGCTCTTTTGAGGAAATTTATGGACATCAACACAGGAAGTTACATTTTAACCAGGATGAGTTAAATGTATGGGAATTGAATACTTTGGCTTTCTTTTAACAAAATGTTTGGTATCATCAACAGTCAGCTCTATGACATGGATTAGAAAATGCAGAAATCAAAGAGCACAAAGACAAAAAATGATGTTTCCTTCTTTATTTTCTTAGACACAAGTTTAATCGCAGCAACTATTCCATGGTCTGAACGAAATGAAACGTCAAACTCCAGCTTCAAGTGTCGAAGGAAGGTAACACAGTAGTGATGCACGTAATCTCATAGAAGAATATGTGAGCATTTCAGGCGAAATTTGACATTTATGCAATCCAGAACAATGGGTTAAAAAAGGGGCTACTTAATGGGTAAAAGACATGCTATTTGAAACCAAAAATCCACTAAGCGATGCATAAGCAATCCGTGCAGATGAAATTCGCAGGACATTCAGCAAGCACCAAGCAGGAACCCCTCTTCCTCTCTCTGTCCGGAGCTGCAGGAAGTTCAGAGAAGCTTCTGGAATGCCAAATTCCCGAAAATATGCATCTGGAGTTGATATGTATGGGTAGCAAACCAATATTCTTGCCCTTAACTGGGATGAATCAGCAATTCTAGCTACCTGCAAATCTGTAACAAACATTCAAAGTAAATGAATTTTCAAAAGTTTGTTGTTTCATACTTGTAGATTACACGTATTCAAGCACAATCATATAGACACATATTTCAATAAATTTCATTGAAAATTTGTGTCTACTCAGGGTTTAGTCTCACTCTTAACACGTCAAATGAGTTCGTGAACAACAAATGCTAAACACCTGGGACATGTCACTCTTGGCAAGCCAGGAATGTAGTAATAATTCATAATAGAGACTGCACAATCTTCCATGTGTCATCATACTTGCGCTTGCTTCATATTCATACAGGGAAAGATGGTTCTGTGAACATCAAGGCCCATCAGGTCAGTTCATCATAGCTAAATGTGAGTTTCAACTGTCGTAGAAAATCAAAACTTTAATCCCCTTCAGTAATAAAGTAAAGCACTTGATACGTTTTTCATGGGTAAGGTCTTGGTACCTTGATACAGGATACAGATAAAATCATGCACCTAGCACATTGATAAACTTCATTCTGGCTGAATAAACTTCTTCCTAGTTGAGAAAAGAAAAATGTGAATAAAATCCAACGATCTAAGTTAAAGCTTCTGCTCTATCAAGGTATTCTACACCTACTTTATCTAGGCTTGCATATTCTCTGACACGATGCATATCATCCAGATCAATAAGGTGCTCTATGAGGTTTGGAAGCGAACAATACATGATGCCAGAAAAGAAAACAATTGGTACAAGAACCCTAAATAGTGTCCAAAAGACATTTTATGGGTGTTTATAAAATGAGAGAGTTCCTGCACATGATGGTCTTATGAAGCAAAACAAACCATTGCTATATAAAGGAAAGTTCTGATGTACTACTGACCAACAAGTATGATGAGCATGCAGGAAGTATTAGATGAAGAGAGGATAAAAAAGGAGGTAAGGACGCTTAAACCATCCTAAACACAAGCTCCAATCAGCAGTTCAGAATGTCATCCAAAACATGTTTAACACATGGTATCAAGCCAGGAATGGGATGGTGGTGAAGATGGGCATGAATGCAAACATCTCTTGATTACTCTCACAAAGTCAACTTCTTTATTATTCTCCCTCACCAATATCTACCTCTGAAAGAAAGCAGGCTCTTAAACTTCTTCTGGCTAACAAGTATGGAAATTAGTATTTTAATGAACTCAAAAGAAAATCAAAAGGGCACCATCAGGTGAGAGGCAGGAAATGATTTGTCCATAATTAATTCGAAAATAAAGTTAAATGAATAAAGACAGAAGTCAGCTTTGCAAGTTTTGCTTGCAACCTGGTTTATGCTAAACCTAGGCACCATCTCTTGTCAAAGCATATTACTATCACTCCAAAATCAAATTGTTATGAAGTGGAAATGTCAACACAAACAGCTTAAAAGGAAGAAATTTTTTCAAATTCTTCATATAAAATTCAAGTATGACTGGTCCTCATATTGTCAATGAAACGGAAGAAAACACATCTTAAAACAGGTCCACTATATTTTGAGCTCCACAGTGCAGCTGAGGCTGCCAAGTGGTGCTTGGGGGAAGAATAAAGGATGATAAATTATGGACAAAAGATCAAGGAATACTGGTGGAGAAAAGTTATCCCCTTGATGCAGCAAATTGAAATACCACCCCAACTCCACATCTGGAAAAAAATAAAAATCATGAAGTAATCAAACCTTAGACTAACTTCATGCTTAACCAAGTAATCAAAGCTTGGAATAGAAAAAGGATAACTTGTAAGATTCTGAAAACACGAGGAAAAAGGTAAAATCAGAATACTAGAGGTCAAAATAGCATGAGAAGTCCATGCAACAGCATCATCTTAAGTACCATGGGATCTGTTTTCAGCACAGGTTAGACGCTTCTGCATAACTTGTTAAGTATCTTACAATGCTAGCACTGCAATCTCTGCAAAGAAAAACCATGTCTATCATTTTTCTTTAAATTTTTCTGGCTCCAAGATTGGCTAATAAGGGGTTATTACAAGCAATAAATATTTCACATCTTTAGGTCACGAGCACAACTAGATATGCCTCCCCTGAAATTCCACCACTCACCAATATGCAAATTGAAGTTTAACCAAGAATGACAAATGATTGCTCTCTTGTCAACATAAAAAATGAAGATCCAGAAAAACATTCCAAAATGTGGCTTGTCAAGTATATCTGATCAAACCAAGACAGATACTACTTGGACCTTTTAGTGGATTCCTCAAGCTCGTTGTCAACCAGCAAGAGATGCAAACATCCACCAGAAGTTGGGAAAACTTGGAACTACAAAGCTGCATGGAAAGACAAATCCAAAGAGAAAAGAAAGTGTGATAACCTAATGTCCAGAAAACCAAATGATTATTAAAAGCTAATTTTTATAATATTTGAACTGACAAACCTGATTTATTGTTCAAGGAAATGGTAACTTGGAAGCTACAAAGTCAGAAAGATCTCTCAGCATGTTCCCAACTGTGTGTGTAAGAAAAAAATTTATCCAGAAGCAAAAAAAATAGAGCATAGAAGTAGCAAAAACAATCTCAAATTAAGCACAATGGCACATTTATTCGCCCTGTATTACCAAAACCAAAAAGCGGATTTTTTTTCCTGCCATTCTTGGCCTTCCCCCGTGCCTCCCCATGTCTCATTATGCAAACTTAACGAATCGACCTAAAACTGGCACTTAAATGAATACTATTCTACGAAAAGATGATGCTTAATGAACCTCAAAAACAGAAAATACCAAAAGTTGCAAACATCATATTCATTGATCCACACCTCAGAACAAAGAGTCAGCCATCTTGTAAATGACTCTTAACCTGATCAGAGTGACAGGTGAGACCGGTAATCTTGTTCAGAGAAACTTTATATGCCTGGTCAAATTGGCAAATCCAGAAAAATTAGGTTATGAGAAGAAACCTACAGTGCTATCAGTACTTGACATCTAAACAAACCTGTGCAAAAGCAAGAACTTCTAGCATGACACTCCCACGACTTTCCGATGTCATAGACACTTGTGGATTGCAACTATTGTGGGCCTATGTAAGCCCTCCACATTTTACCTTGTCTCTCTTCTCTTCAGCCTCCATGGAAATGTGTCATATCCTACGTTTTTTATACTTTCAGCAAAGGACAATGCACAATTGCCCCCATGCTAACAAGAGAACTACATAGCCCGTAAGATTGAGAGATTTCTGATTTTAGATCTCAGAAAATATAAATTCCACCTGTATTAATCATAGGTGACTCTAAGCATAAAGAACAAGATGGGCTCAGAACCTGTTTAAAGGCAATTGCAATTATTTCGATACATCTTTATTTCTAGTTGCTTATCTTGTTTTCAATCGATATCTCTCTGAACAAAATAAAGCCCTAATGCCATCTGTTGCACATTATGATGTTAGCTTCCTTACCTTTCTCCATTATTAACATCTGGAAGAAAGCAAGCTCTCAAATTTTCTAGTTGACAAATACGGTAACTAGCATTAACAACATCAAAAGAAGAAGTACATTAAAGAGAGTGAGACAGATGGAGGGAGGGAGAGGGACGGCAGTAATTCTATATCCATAACTTAATAGGTAGAAAAATTAAATGACCAAAAAAAGAAACCGGCTTGGCGAATTTCACTTGCCACCAGGTTTATAGATAGTTGACCATCTTTCACAAATCAAATTATGATGACATGGCAAGATTATCCAAAAGAACATAATATAAGAAAATTCTTCAGAGTACAAAGACATAATGACGGCTGATCCTTGTAAGGCCAATGAGGTGGAAGAAAATATTCTTTTTCTAAATCAGCTTCTTTTGAGCTCCAGCAAATCTGGTAAAAGAGAGAGCTTTCGCTTTGCTGCAGGTGATAATAATTAACAAGAATAGTAGCATCCACCACCACGCCAAATCTCTTAAATAATCTACAGAATCTTCATAAATTAATGAAACCCTAGCCATGACCTGATCCTAACGAAGTAACCAAGCTCAAAAGGAGGAAAATTTTGCAATACCCATATCAAATTCTAAACTCTAATAAGGATCACTAACGTAGAACCTAGACAGTAGTGGGCAGACTAGAATGACAATTACATACTTTGGGGCACATATTCATGTTTAGTATTTTTCATCAGGTTTTGCTGACTACATGAGAGGCCAATCAGGCACAATTAAGACACAAGAGCAACTAGTTAGGCCTTCTGCTCACATAATCTCTGTCACTGCTTAACTTTCCGTATTCATATCGTTACAGGTAAACAACACACATGCTTTTAGTTTTTGCATGTTTTTTTCCTGGGCTTTTTCTAATGACAAATGGAGTACCATAAGAATGCAGAGGCATGCTTTACGAAGGAAAATACTTGAAAGGATTCCTATTCAAGTCAACTGTGTCCAAGAACACCAAAATTAGAAAGAAAAAATGACTATCAATGAAGATGAACACTGGTCTTCTAAGAATAATGAAATAAGAACACACAGAGGACAGCAAAAGGAGTAGGCATCCATTCACGAGAAAATAGCTTTTTATTTAGTTATTTATGAGTTGATATTCTTTTCTTTCAAGTACTATTAGGTCCATTGTCAACACCAAGACCATACAATACACCTGCATACTTCTCAGTTGTCCCATGAAAGAAACTCTCTTTCAACTTCATAAATGTACAACAAGTAAGCAAACTATCTGAACCAGCCTGATGGCAGATACCAACTCTTTCCACTTCCAACAGCTCAGCAAGCTTGTTTAATCCACCATGGAGGTGATTGCAGAACCTCATCATATGCTTGATATCATAAACAGTTGGAAAATACATCTTGATCAATTTGAAAAAACCCTCCTGAGTTTCAGGCAGGTTCTGGCACGTCAGGATCTTCAGCAAGTACCCAAAATCATATCCACTGTGAAAGGCAACCCAGCTGACACTATCATTCAACACAATCCCAGACGACATCAGGAGCTCACTGAACCGATAAGCATCAACACCGTTATCAACATTCTTCTTGAAGTCAAATCCACTTCGCCTCAGAAGCTCGATGGAGTCATGAGCATAGACATCCTCATTGGGATTAAACTCCCGGAAATTGAATTGCCAGACGCAGTACTTACCAGTTCCACAGGTGGGAAGATTTCCTTTCTCATCAGAAAACGTGAGGCCCAACTGAATCAACTTGAGAAGGTCCACATTAGCCTTCAAGGTTTTAAAATGAAAATCAGTGAAGTTCTTATAATCCCCTAAAGGACGAAGAACAACGCCCGGAAACTCAGTATCCATAGCTATATAAGGGTAATCATCAACAATTTCCCTGATCAGTGCAAACTCATCCTCAAGGTTGTCATTCCAAACTTCCCTTATATGAATTGAATCATGGCTGGGCAACACGGTCATTTTCTCATCAAATTTGCAGGAAATTGCCAAAACCCACAAAACCCAGTACAACAAACCCAAGACCCTAAATCTGCAAACATCAACAAAATAACAAATCCAAACAAGTCCTTATCAACAAAATCGAACAGAACCCAGAAAATAGAACCTCACAAAAATACAGAAATCAAGTTAAACTAAGGGCTGGAATTGAAAAACATGCAACAAGAAATAGATCTGACCTTAAAGTTTCGAACTTTGTATGGTTCAGAAGGGATGGATTCTTCTGGGTTTTGGGTTGATAAAAATTTTGCGCTATTTTGAAAGTATGTAGGCGGCTCAACTTTGATTCATGAAATAAAATTGGGGATTTTTGAGGACGAATGAGAGCTAGGTTTCAATTTTAAAAAAGGAAGGCAAAATTGACTGAAAAATCGAAATGGGGCCTCGGAAGTCCCCTTAGCTCTCACATTGTAAGAGCATTTTACAAAGTGAAAGTTTATTCAGGTGAACAGGAAAGCGGGGGCAGGAAAGTGGGGGCTTGACAGTGAAGTCGGGTATATATAGAGATGCAGATCAGGCGCTTCTAGAAACAGAGCATCTTATTTGCGTTTTACACCATCAAACCTTTTGGTTTCGTATCAGTTTCTAAAATTTTCTGTTTTTTTTTTTTTTGGTAAGAAGTTTCTAAAATTTTCAATCATATCATTTGGCTTCTCTAAGATAACAATAATATGTTCAATATAGTAATTTTGAAAGGAGAAAGGATGAGTTGTTGGTATTGAAGAAAGAGAATATAAGTAAAACGTGACAAAGTGTAAATAGTAAATAGGAAATCTCGAATCAAATATCTCTCGAGTTTGAGACCTCCCACTTATCACTTGTACTTCAACACCTCTCACTTACATTAATATATATATATATATATATATATATATATATATATATATGAAAAAGAAAAATAAAGATCCAAGATACTGATTCATGAGTTATTTATTACTTAGTGATCCAATATATGGAATTGCTAGAATGGAGGTAAAGGTTCTCTTAAGTTTATCCTCGTTAAATCTAGAAGGAATTTTATAGTACATCCTATGCATTATCAAGAGCCTTTAATGCAATTGCCGAGGTCTTAGGTAATTTTGGAACATTATTCAAAAAGATAGTCACACATGAAAGTGAATGCTAGTCATTTTAATAGCATATATTAACTTCATAGTCTAAGAATTCTAATTTAAGTCGTTTTGCTTTGAAAAATGTAATTTGATCTTAATGGCATCATGCATTTTGATGTGAGCAATTTTCTTCTTCGCTTTTCCTGGTAGAGAGAATTTGGAAAAAAAAATTTTGCCTCACAAATCCCAATCACCTTTTTATTTTCCCAATCACCTTTTTATTTCACACACATCACATCACAAAAAGTGCTACAGTAAATATCTCAAATAAATCATCCAAATAAACTCTTATCCAAACAATTTGATAACTATTTGACTTTTGTCCTAGTTTTTCTGGGTTAATTATATATCTGCCTTCCTTGAGATTTGTCCATAATACAAATCAAGCCTTGTGGTTTAGTTATATTACTGTTAGCCCCCTATCACTAACAACGCCTAAGCCCAACAAACGGAACCAATGAAATTATAGAAGTACCCTTTGTACGAAAAGCTCAATTTTTCCTGTTAAAGATCACAATATTAACATTAAAAAAGTTTAGAAGCATGAATAATATATTTGTGAAATCAAGTACTGTGACTGAGGAAAATCGTCCACAATCATCACAAAACTAACAAGAGATCAAATAAGGGAATAAAAAGGTGGAAATCTAGAAAAAGACTATTTTTGCCAAAATCTCCAAAAATTAGCAAAAGAAAAGAAGCAAAATTTGGAATAAAAGCACTCGCCACTATTGGTAACCCCTCTCAATTTTCTTGTTGTTCGTTTTCTCTCTTCCAAACTCTTTCCTCAACAATTCTCCCTAATCCTCTATCTGTTCCAAGCCTTAAATCTCTTTGTTCTTCCCTCTCATTTAAGAATTATTTATCAAAAATGCCTTCATTCCTTTGCCTAAACCTCAATGGATTGTCTTTGGGCCATTACTTTTCCACTCTAAACCGCCCACCATCGCCCTTTACAAATTTCTTTTATTCATATCATCTTATTGCCAATGCAACTAATGTCTAAGAGCCCCATGTCTATTTGTTCAAGTATATCTCATTGTTCAATTTTGTCCGTGTAACGACTTTCATTGTGAGAATTTGAGGAAAGTATAGAAGAACTATGAATAAGCAATCAAAAAAGATTAAGAAGATCTTGAGGGGAGAAGAAAGAAGACCGTATTTGTGCTTTCAAGAATAAAAAGATATAGAATACTAAGAATGTTTAGCTGACTAGATTTGATATTATTAATTTTCCTACACTTCAATACTTTTGAGGTTATAAATATGGTCGGAGTAATGATTTACTTTAGTGATACACCTAAGTTTTTTATAGCGATACTGGAATTGTTTGGCTGTTGAGGATTAGTAGGGAAAAAAGAGAAAGTCCAACGTTTGGGGTATTTCGGGACTTTTGGGAGAATAATCTTGCTGATGTCATTAGAATATGGTTGTCAACGTTAGGCGTATTTGTTACACATCTCTTAGGATAGAGGAGCTTTTCGCAATATCATCAAACATTAGGGCCTAATCTATAATTTGACGAAACCTCATTGGTGGTTCTTATAATTAATCCAATTTTTTTATGATAATTGTACTAAACCCTCTCCAACTATTATTCGAGTTGCACTGTATTTTTTCAACTTGCTTTGTAGGCGCTTAACCCTCTCATGATGTATTTGGACAAAATCATCACTGCCATCTTAATTATTTTTATTTTTACTTTTTTTTTTGTTTTTCACTTTTCCTTTTCCTTTTTTAATTTTTTTCTATTTCCTTGCTCTCTAACACTATTAGGCACTTTTGTCTCTCTGTTAATAAAATATTTATGCTAAATATTTTAATTTTCTTTTAAAATATTTTCTCCTATTATAGTTTTTTTTATATAAGTGGAAGGTCTCGAACCCGAAATCTCTCACTTACACTCCCTCCCTACATACCATCAAACTCATCCCTTCCCCACTCACATTTGTGTATTTGTTACATTTCACTTTTAATAATTCATCATCAACTCTATACAATAACAAAATATATGCGTGTTAAATTGCACAGCATATAGACTATATGATTCAATACTTCTTATGGATTATTAAAATTGGAAATTAACTATATCTAAAAGTATAAAGTTAAACAAGCTAAAATGATAAAGTTGGTGGTAGCTTTTTATTTTTAAATGCACTATTTATTAAAAAATCACAATTAGTGCATCTAAGTAACTAAAACTCTATAAAATTTTATTAAAATACGCTATACAAATTTTAACAATGAGTGCACTAAATATAATATTGTAGTGTTGAAAAAGGATGAAAGGAAAAAGAAAAATAAGAGGGAAGAGATGAAAATTTTGAAAAAAACGAATAGGAAAGAAAAGAAAAAATAATGAAGTTTGTAGAAATAGTTTAATCCCCTGAAAAAATTCAAGAGGGTAACGTGCAACTTGGCTAATATTGACGAGGGTCAAGTGCAATTAACCCTAGCTTTTCATGGTCCTAAGATTCGGAGGAGTTAATTAGCTAAAGAAATACATAAAGGCTATTTTGGCAAAAACTGTGTCAATCACAACTTCAGGAATCAGAATGTTTCTCATGAAGAAAAATTTCAAGATGAGACAAAAGTTTAAAAATATAATGCCAAATCCCTTATTTGCATTTGTCTTTATGACACAAGACAAAGAAAAGAAATGATTTAATGGGATAACCAGTACAAACTACCACTAATTAGCATGATTAAAAAACAAAGTAAAATTTTTTTCTGCTTTATAATATCATGGTTTGAACTATCTATATATAAGGAAATGTTATGATTAAATTTAAAACAAAGAAAATGTTTATCTAACTGCAGTTTAATGAGGTTTAAAGAACATATGAATTGATGTAATACGAATTTTTTCAGTGCTAAGGACTTCAAATTTTTAACTGCTATGAGCTTTTAGTCTTTGTCAAGTATGTCTACCATCACAAAATTTAAGATACATAAAAGTAATTAAAATAAAAAAGAAAAGCAATGAATTCATAAGCAAAGTAACCAAGTTTTATTTTTATTTTTTTTTTAAAAAATTAGCACATCTTGTCCATTTAGAATTTTAAATGTCCATCTGATATAGTACTGAGTAATTTGTACTAGTGCTCATAAGCTGGCTTGGTGTCCAATTTTTAAAGAAGATAATTTATTTAGTTGAAGTTTGAATTTTAGTATTGACCCTAGTTCGAAGTATAAATTAAAAGAGTTCAATTATTTATTAAAATAAAAGATTCACTTGTTGTAAAAATGAAATTTTATCTTTTACTTAATTGATCACTATTTGGTTGGATATACGAATTTCTTGTATTCTACTACCATTATAAGAACGCGAAGGCATCAGCAACAAGCTCTCGTAGCTCAGTTGGTTAGAGCACCCGTTTAGTAAGCGGGAGGTCTTGAGTTCGACTCTCAACGAGAGCAACGGTGCTTCCATGTTATTTTTTCCCCACCCTATAGTACTTTACGAATCAAAAGAGATCCTTTCAGGTTCCACGGTACTTTGGCTGTTCTGAGTACAAACGGAAAGTAGAAATTCAGTAGAAACCTTTTGATTCTTTGAATAACAAGCCAGGATATCTTCAAAGATCCACTTCGAGAGGGATTTAATTTTATTATTTTTCAAATGCCAAGTCTAAACTTGCAGTAAATACCAACTCTTGTAGATTAAACCTCAAGCTTCAGTTAATTCTTCAATCTATTTGGATTGATCATTTTTTGAAAAACAAGTTTTTCAATTACAATGTTACAATAATACACAAACAAAAATAATCTCAAAAATATCAAAGACAACTTAAAAAATACCAAAAACATAAAAAAAAATAACCTTAAAAAACACCAAAAATACAAAAAATAACCTAAAAAATAACCTCATCTACGGTAAAAGTTTTTCAACTACATTGTTACAATAAAATATTTCAAAAATACCCCTAAAAAACAGCTAATCCAAACGGATTAGTTTGTTTCAGCAGAATGGTAGATAGAAAGCTCATTCCTGTGAGACAGGTAATTTTTGTCTGACATTCTTTCTTCCAACTAGTTGAGATGGGATTCTAATATTTTAAGTGAGGGTTAATTATAATAAATCTCCTTCGTAATCTTAATTTTGATTTTCCTTTGTCTTCTTTCTTTCCTTCTTTCTCCTTCTCCCAGCTTATTCCCATTTTTTTTTTTCACGCCATCTCTTCATTCAAGAACCATTGATCTTTAGATGACTAATGAATAAAAAAAAACATAGACCATTAAAAGGCCCAAAAAAAAAAAAAGTTAGCAAAAGCCACCATTTGATTGGAGTAAAAGGAAAGGAATTATAGATTTACCATATTCTGGGATACAAACATAAGAGTCTACATAGAGAG